GACAAAGATTTTGTCAATAAATAAGTCACTATCAAGGAATCCTTAAATACATTTAATCCTTTATTAAGGACAAGCTCACAAAACTCAGGAAAAATAACTCCCTTAATAAAAGGGCATGCTCATGAAGCTAAAGGATATATGTAATAAAAAATAAAAATATTTTTCCTTTATTAAAGAAAAAACTCATAAAGCTTAGGTAAAACAACCCTACCCTTATTAAAGAAATAAAAATATTTTTCCTTTATTAAAGAAAAAACTCATAAAGCTTAGGTAAAACAACCCTACCCTTATTAAAGGGGCAAGCTGGGTGAAACTCATAAGAATTAAAACCTTTATTAAAAGGGCGAGTTGGGTGAAGCTCGTAAGAATTAAAACCTTTATTAAAGGGCGACCTGGGTGAAGCTCGAAATTATTACTCCCCTTATCAAAGGGGCGAGATGAGTAAAGCTCGTATATAAGACAAGCTGAGTGAAACTTATAAAACTTATTTGCTTTTTCAAGGGACGAGCTGAGTGAAGCTCATAAAACCACAGACATATATAATATGTTGATTCCCAAAGAAAATCCAATTATCACCGTGCATCGATGTTGACTGTGGAATTTGAACCTATGCCATTCAAAGATCAGAACCTTCATTTGACGTACGATTTTGTTCACCTCATAATAATAGCCAAGTAGAATTATTCATATCGAGAACATTATCTCGAGGTAAAATAATATAATTTTTTTTAATAATAATGTATTATTCTCAAAGAGAATCAAGCGATCATGTTACCACAAGAAGATAACCACGCATTTTCAGGCCAAAACGGTATATGGTACGTTACCTTGTAATGGTACCTAAGTAAGAAGGAAAAAAAAAAAAAAAAGGTATGTAGATTCCTTTTGGATCATCACGTGGTGGGAAGTGAACCCATGCCATTCCAGACTAGAACCTTGATCTGTCGTCTAATACAAGAATTGTACCTGAGGTTAAAAAAAAATAATAATAAAAAAATAAGGTTGGATTCCAAATGAATCTGTACAAAACTTTGTGTAAGAAAAAAAAATACTATTTACGTCGAGAGTGTGATACCCCTCGATTCTAGAGCCACGGGTGATCAAGTCCGAGCACAGATCCGAGGGATACCAAACAATTAATATGTAAACAAGTAGAAAATAAAAACTGAATTAAGAATAAACTAATAGTACGCTGAAAGAAATCTAAAATAAGAATCCTCAAACTTGAAATAATAAATTAATATGATTTAAAACCGTACAACTCGAGAATCCTCCTAGTGGACCCCTAACCCCAAATCCTTGAATAAATTTACAGAATTAAAATCCAAAATTAAAGTAGAAAGGAAATCCTATGTAACCGGAAGAGTGAGTGTCTGTATCTGCATCAACACGATCAAGCTCTAAGCCTGGTACTGTCGAACACCTGAAAAATAATAGAGTGGGTCAGGCCCACATGCAAGTCCTGATCTACTATGATCCAAACAGGAATCTGATGCGCAGATACATTTTAGATAAACTAAAAAATATCTAGAGTAGTCCATATATGTATATATTACACATTATAGGACGCTCACTAGTCCAATAGGTATGTCTCAGCCTGAGTAGAGATACCATGCAAATTGCACGTAATGTGGTCATGTGTATCTAGACCTACCAGGGAACAAAATCACTGTCCAGTTATCCATCCTAGATGATATACGCACCCTAACCATGGTCCTGAGACTTAAGCTCATACCAAGGCACCATAACATAAATATATAAAATCCGTTCAAGGTGTGTCATTCAAAAAGTTTATAGACCTGACACAAAGTTATAAGTAGGACTTAACTTTTGTAGTTTATCCATCTTATTTCAGAATAGGTAGGTCTTAGTGTTTTTAAACTAAGCCATCCCTAATATGTCACCGTCCCATACCGGTGCATATACATCCATATAAGTAGGACTTAACTTTTATAGTTAATCCAACTTATTCCAAAATAGGTAGGAGTTAGTATTTTAACTAATCCGTCCCTAGTATGCCATCATCGCATACCGGTGCATACAATCCTCCAAATAGCATAGTTTACAAATAACACTATGTATTCAACAACCATTCTCCAAAACATGCATCATTATAATCTAATACATATATATCAATATTAGGCATTCATTATAAGGCCTAAAAATAACATTCCAATAATGTAAACTGCTAAAATAATCTAAGCATTTACATTCTTCAACTTGTCCATAAATCGATGCAGTCCCGTAGCAAGGTATATATAAATTTGGTCCAACATAAGTATAGTTAAACATGGGTGTAACTAAGTCATGCCTCCACTGAAAGATTTAGAACCCAAGTTTCAGTCCACTAAGTTTAATAAAACAGATTTATGAAACTTACTTCTCCAAACAGTACTATAATTGATACATTTATGTACAAACTTAAACATCAGTCTATTCTAACCAAGCATACACATTATTAAATAATAACATGCTTATAACAGAGCTGTAAAACATGATTCCAAACCTAAGAACATGCAAAGGCATCAAATCTCCTCCAAACAGTGTTGTAACAAATGAGATGTATAACAGATTTAAATTATCAATCAATCCCAACAAAGCATACATGTATTTAAATAACATAATGCTCATAACTCAACTACAGAACATGATTAAAACTTAAGATCATGCAAAGAAATCAAATTGCAAATCAATCTGCAACACAAGTCAGTTGCTCCCTTAATCACATACAGACCTTCGATCAAACTGATGTTAATTATGTCCTAGATTCTGAATGTAAGCTTGTTTTTTAATTATTTCATACATCTTAAGCAGTGTATTACATCACTACAACAGCCTTTAAACCATTTTAGAAACTCAGACTCAGCCAAACAGAATATAAAATTTCAGTTTTACGCACCATTAAGAGAAAGAGAAGGCTCTAAGTTTCACAGAGCCTTCTCCAAACTAGGAGAGCCGGCTCCCCTTCCTTGGGAGCTGGCTCTAGATGGTTGAGAGTCGGCTCTCAACCTTAGAGAGCCGGCTCTTGTGTTTTGGGAGCAGGCTCCCTCTATTTTTGGAGCCTGTTCTCACTTCTAAGAGCCGTGGCTGTTTTCTGTTGTCCTCTCCGACTCCGGTGGTTTTCAGTCTTTCAATTTAGTTCTATTACATGTTTTAAGGTCCTATCCTCCTCCCAGATTGATCACAAAGCAAAGTTATACATCTATGAATTTAATTACAGATCAATGTTTTAAGCAACGATAAACATATAAAACTGAAACTTGTAAAAACTGAGAAATGGAAAATAATCCAGTGATGTTAGAAACTGATTTAACATGTTTAAACAATGTAATTAACACTTAGTTTAATTCCTGGAGTCCAACTAAGCATGCATAGAACACAAATTCCTGGGAAAGAGAAGATCAGAAACTTGCCTTTGAAACTCAAACTTGCAAAGCTAATTCCACGTCTCTGAATGTTAAACCACCCTTGCTACTGCTACTGCAGTCCAGTAACACACACCAAACTTCCCTCCTTGATTCTGTTTTGTGAACCACCGAAACTCCTACTCCGGTTCTCTCTGTATCTCTCTGGTTTTCACTACCAATTTAGGGCTCTGTTTGTGGGTTACAGAACGTACGTTTATTCTGTTCTCCAATCCCTAAACCATGTATTGCTTTATATTTATAGGTGTATATTAATACCCTAGTCCACGAATAATCAGAGACTAAGCCCTAATCCCCATCCTAATCGGCCCATGAAACTATCTCAGTTCTAACCTACGGCGGCTCACCTATACGTGAAATATAAGCCAAAAATTATAACTGTAACCCTAAGTTACCATACAGAAAATAAATAAACATTACATTAACTAAATAAAACAATTAAATAAATTCAAATAATATAATTAAAACAATCTCAATTAACATGTAAATTAAATACACACAAAAATTAATTAAATCAATTAAGCAATCACAATTAATTAAATCAATTAAGCAAACACAATTAATCACTTAAAAACAACTTAGTCACATAACTAAATCAATTAATCACTGAAAAATTAAATTAAATTAAATTTCCACTTCTATCCTTCTGAAAACTAGGGATATTATAGAGAGTAGGACTCGAGATACTATTCACCTCATAAACGTACTATATAAAATAAAAAATTTCTTTATATTTCTTAGCCCGTTCCAAACTAGGAAATAAAGGGCAATTGATGGGAAAAAAGTAACCCTAAGTTTGACCAGCCGCCTTGACCAATCAATTTGACTCACTTTTCGTGAAAAAGAGGATAACAACAATATACGATAATGAGGAGATTATAATCATTCAGTTGACGAGAAATATGAGAGACCGATTATGGAAGATATACCAAATCTCCTTGATCGACATCTACACAACTGGATCTAGAGGCATTCTTAAATACGATAGAAAACCATTAACCAAGGTATGAGAAAAAAATTCCTGAACATTGAATAGATAATTAATTTTTCTGTTATACGATTCCAAGCACTAACTGAATCGTCAGAGGGTCCTTAGCCGGCACTGCACCGATGCTATTTAAGGTGATGTAATCTTCATTGTTTTGCAGGTAAACTTTGTCATTCTGGGTCGCGCTGATTTTTGATTCAAAATTATTAATACAAAATCATTAAAGTACAAATATTTTAGTTTTTAAATCAATTAAAATATATATAAATATGTTAGAATATATTGTAGAATATATTCTTATTATATTATAGAATATATTTTAGGGCTAAAATCTTAAAACCCCCCTTTTGTTTATCAAAACTATCTACTAACCCCCTCGAGTATTAAAAAACCCCCTGACATAACATAAACAATCACATTGCCCCCATTCCATCACAGAACCGTTAAATGCATACAAAATGACAAAAATGCCCTTAATAGTATATTAATATCTATTTAAATATAATTATAGTAATTACTATAATTATAATTATAAATATAATTACTATAATTATAGTAATTACTAGTATATAGGAATTATATATACACATAATTCTGGAAAAAATGATATTCAGAACCTTCTTACAAGTGATGAAATACATCATCATCTGCATATATTTACTTAACAATTTTGCTTGTTTCATCATGAATTTTTAATAATTCCAAAATAAAAAAATAAAAATAAAAAAAGAAGAGAATTTTAATTGATTTTAATTTCTCATGTGTTTTGTTAATCTCCCCTGGATGGACACCAAGGCGTCATGTCCAAAGGATAACTTCCCAACACTCTCAAGAAGGACGTGAACTCCTGAACCTCCGCCAGCGCGTTCTGTGCCCTAACCTCCGCCATGGATGCTTCGAAGTCGACGTAGAACATGTACTCAAAGTGTTTCGCCGTCCCAACGTTCGCGTCGTTGACCAGCCTGATCAGACGGTTCCGGTGAGGTCGGCTCTCTATCTTCGTCAAGCTTATATTCTTGAAAGTGAACGCCGACAACACCTTAAACAACACCGATGTCCCCTTCTCGTGCGCGAACACTATGCTCGTCTTAAACGGCCGGTCAGTCAGTGGTATGATCGACTCTCGAGCAAGCATCACGAACCGAGTTACGTTGCTGGAATCGTCCTGGATCCCGTCCGCCAGGATCTGGAGTCTGTACAGTCTGGACTATACATAAACATAGAGTGCTGGAAAACATGGAGTGCCGGAAAACATAGAGTGTAGGGGCAGTTTTGTCATTAAGTGGTTAAAAGGGTAGTATGGTCATATTCAAATGAAATATTATGCACGTGACAATCATGTGATCTGATCTGTTAGTTTTTGACGGAAAATTAACGAGAGGGGTTATTATGATAGACTTTTTAAAACATCGAGGGGTTTTATGATAGTTTCCGTACTTGAGGGGGTTGGTAGATAGTTTTTGTAAACAATAAAGGGGTATTTAGATTTTAGCCCTATATTTTAACCTTATATATATATGATTCTAACCTTGTTTAGGATTACTATATGTATAGTTACCATATACATATAAGGTTTACTTATTTATCACACATAACTCCTCCTATATAAACCCCTCTTGCATACATATCTCATACATATCAATATACAATAAATAGTTCTTTCTTTTATATTTAACATGATATCAAAGCCTTTCGATCTCTGGTAAATAATCTACCAGTTTATCGTAGTCACCGCCGGGGATGGCACAATTAGCCCCATCCTCGGCGGCGGCAGTCAACCGGTAAATCATGCTTACTAACTCACTCTTTTGCACTCCAAACTGCGCCACCATGCGTCTCAAGTGGTAATCCCACTCTTCAATAAGCTTTCACGTGCACCAACAGTAATCCCGTACCTCAACGTGTCGAATTAGCTCCGTCACCGCGCCACCACGCATTAGATCCAAATCGCGCCACGTGTCAGGCCACGTCATCCTGCCATATCAGCACCACCGCGTCATTATGCCACACCTGCACTGCCAAGGCAACAGGTGCCACGCCATCAGTTGACCAATTAGCCTCCAAGACACATCAATAGCGTTGTCAGCAGTAGTGTGTCACCTGCTACGTTAGTTGTCATGTTAGACACAGTCAGCAGCGGTGCCAGCAGTAGTGCCACATCACCTGCCACGTCAATTGTTAATCATGCCTCCATCTTTATCATGGGTAAAAACCCATCTTCACCAAATCAGCATCGCCGCGTCAAATCCACTCTGCGCCACGTGTCAGACCACGTCAGCATCGCTGTGTCAGATCTACGCCGCACCACGTGTTAGGCCATGTCAGCATCGCCGCGTCAGATCCACGTCACGCAATGTGTCAGGCTACGCCATCTTGCCACGTCAGCACCGCTACATCATATTTAATCCACCTTCATTTTGGGGGGTTGTTAAAATATATTTGTGATACCCCTCGGATCTGAGACACGGGTTGATCAGGCCCAAGCCTAAACTCGAGGGAATATCAAACAATTAATATTTTAAAACGAACATAGAATACAAAAAGATTTAAGAATTAAATAATGAAACTGAAAGAATTACTAAATATAAAATCCTCTAAAGTTAAACATTACATAATCCAACTCTCCAAAACATTCAAAGTACAACTCGGGAATCCATCTAGTGGACCCCTAAACAATATCCCAATTGAAATAAACAACTGGAAATAAAACTAAATCTAAAACATGGAATGAAATCCTACGTCGTCGGTAGAGTGAATGATAGTCTCTGCTCAGCATGATCAAGCCTAAGACTGGAACCGTCCAATACCTGAAAAATATAAGAGTGGGTTAGGCCCACGAATAAGTTCTAATTTAACTGCAATCCATACAGTGACCCGATACACAGATACATCCTAGATATCTCACAATATCTATCTAGTCCATAAATATATATATATCCACACTAAGGGACATTCACTGGACCACGAAGGGGTCTCAGTCTGAATAGAAAGCAACATGCAAAAACGCACCCAAATGTGGGTATGAGTACCTAGACCTAACAGGGTATACCTCAACCTATCATAGCCAGCTACGCATCCATTGCAAATACGCGCCCTAACCATCGACTATGAGACTCAAGCTTATATCGTGGTACCATAATCATATATCTAAAGTCCGTCCAAAACCATAGTATGTCACTCAATTGTTCATTGATCTGACATACGATTCATAATCTAGTTAGTCACTCAACTTATTCAATTGATATGACTTAACTACAACCAACAGTTAATCCAGGTGGTCACTTAACTTACTTAGTTGATCTGACCTAAATATAAGTAGGATTCAATTTTTACAATCCATTCCCTTATTCCAATAGGGTAGGTTTTAGCATTTTGAGCTAAACCATCCTAGTATGCCACCGTCCCATACCGGTGTATACGATCCACAACATCTATATAATTGACAGAATTTAGTGTACTAATGTGATACCCCTCGGATCCGAGACACGGGTTGATCAGGCCCAGGCCCAAACCCGAGGGAATATCAAACAATTAATATTTTATAATGAACACGGAATACAAAATAAATTAAAAAATGAAATTAAAGCTGGAAGGAACTAAAAATAGAATCCGCAAAATATTATAATTATTAAAATCCATAAAACCCAAACTCCAAAACTCCATCAGTTTACAACTTGGGAATCCATCTCTAATGGACCCCAATTAAACATCTAAATGGAAGATAGAACAAATGTAATAAACATCCAGAAATGAAACTATAGAGAGAGCCCTACATCGTCGGAAGAGTGAATAGAGACCTCTGCTCAGCACGAACACGTCTAAGCCTGGAACTGTCGTGTACCTGAAAAATAGAAGTGGGTCAGGCCCACGCGCAAGTTCTATACTACTATAATCCAAACAGAGGCCCGATACACATGTACATCCTAAACAATTCAACAATAGCTAATAGTCCGTAAATATATATATAGTCACACTAAAGGACTCTCACTAGACTACAGGCCGGTCTCAACCTGAATAGAGGTAACATGCTAAAACGCACACGTACTGGGCATATGTACCTATACCTAAACAGGGTACACCTCCAACCATCGTAGCCAGCTACACATCCCGATGCATATACGCTCCCTAGCCATCGGTCCTGAGGCTCAAGCTCATACCGAGGCACCATAACAGTACATATATAAAATCCATCCAAAATCCCTGGTATTGCCGTTCAACAAGTAGTTGCCATGACAATACAAATCCACGGGACTTAACTTTTAGTTAATCCTATTCTTATTCCAAGTAGGTGGGTAATGGTATTGATTTAAAAACCAAATCCATCCTTAGTATGCTACCGTCCCATACCGGTGCCTACTTTCCAATCCTCCAGTAGTCAATAATACCAATAAATCAAGTATATATCAACTAAATTCTAACATCCAACATTCAATGTTAGCAGTGATAAAATAAGCATTGATAAACAGGGTCACAACAACAACATATACATGCCCAATTTAAGTTGTTCCCTTTAGTCTGATATAAAGATAGAATTAATTAAAACTTCCATTTAACACCTTACAAATGACATACAGATATGTAGGGTATGTATCACAAAATTCTAACCTCCACAGTTGATACTAACTGTGATAATGTAACCATTAAAACAATATTCACAGTATGTATGTAGACATGCTCAAATTATAGTGTTCCACAAAACCGATCTAGTGTTAAACTCAAATCCTCCTAGTATTTAAGTTCCAACAGTAGCTATGACAGAAATCAAGATAGCTATCATCTAGACCCATCCTTCCAATAATTTATACTAGCAGTGGTAAGGAAAAACGTGAACCACAGAACCACAATGCATCCACAAACATGCTTAGTCTAGGTTAAACAAGCATACAACACTACTGTAACTACCAGTTTCATAGCAAAACAGATATCATTTTAGTTTGGTTTAATCTTCATTAATCCTGGAATCATTTAAGAGTGCAAAGAGTATGAAGCCTAAGGGAAAGAGTAAGGATAGAATCTTGCCTCAGAAACTTTTGTTCAAAGTTTCAACGTCGTCTTCTTAAAAAATCCCGGCGAGTTCCAAAACCCGGTTACTGTTCACAGGTACGAAACACTATTCCCGAACTTAAAATCTGATCTCCACCGTTCAGATTGTGCGACACTGAGTCATGAACCTATCCTCCAAATTTTAGCTCGATCGGGCCACGGACGAAGCGGGATTGGATGTTTGATGAAATCTGGGTAGAATGGAAAAAAAACCTGTGCGACCCGATTACTGTTCATGAGTACGAATCACTGTTCCTGAGATCAAACTCTAATCTCCACCGTTCAGATTGTGCGTCACTGAGTCTTGAACCTCTCCTCTAAAATTCAGCTGATGTTTGATGAAATCTGGGCGGAATGGAAAAAACCTGTGCGACCTGGTTACTGTTCATGAGTACGAATCACTGTTCCCGAGGTCAACCTCTGATCTTCACCGTTCAGATTGTGCGTCACTGAGTCGTGAACCTCTCCTCCAAAATTCAGCTCTATCGGACCACGGACGAAGCGGATCGGATGTTTGATGAAATCTGGGCAGAATGGAAAAACTGCGTTTGAAAAACTGCGTTTTTCCTTCTCCACTTGCACAAAACGTGTGCTTTGTTTAAAAAAAACCCTACACAGATGTCTACCTTATACTTAAAGAGTTTTCCTAAACCCTAGGTTCATTTAAGTCCAACTCACAATCCTAACCGGCCCATTCAATTAACGTAGAAACCTACGACGGCTATAATATAAAACCCTAATTTATACTGTAATTAAAACCCTAGTTAGATGTATTTACCTAATTACCCTATTCACCATTAAATACTTAACAGATAATCTAATTGAACAAAATAATAATTAGTAAACCCAATTAAACCAAATAAGACACACATAAAATAAGACACACACAGAATAATTAAACCAATTAAACTTAAGTCATTAATGCCAATTAAATAATTAAAACACTAACAAGTAATTCCAATCAAATAACTAAACCAATTACACTTAAACCATTAATGCCAATTAAATAATTAAACACTAACAAGTAATTCCAAATCAAATAACTAAAAATAAATATCATTTAAATAAATTAAATCACCACAAAAGAAAACAATTAAGCACCTAATAAAAAATAATGACACATAATCAAATAAAATGCACTTAAATAATAAATTAAATACCAGGAATATCCTTTTTTAAAATTAGGGGTATTACAACTCAGACTCATTGTGTTGACTCCATTGAACACGAACCAAAGGAATAACCTTATTACGAAGAATCTGATCTCGTCGGTCGACAATACGACAAGGTAGCTCTAAATAAGTTGCATCCGGCTGTAACGCAATCTCCCCAACATCGATATGCTGATACCGATCCTCATCTCGAAGAAATTTTCGCAACATGGAAACATGAAACACGTTGTGGACGCGATCCAACGTATCCGGAAATGCCAAACGATAAGCAACAGCTCCAATGCGATCCGTAATCATGAATGGACCAACAAATCGTGGTGACAACTTCCTTTTCTTCCCAAAGCGCATAACACCCTTCATAGGAGACACTTTGAGTAGAACCTGATCCCCAACCTGAAACTCCAAAGCCCGAATACGACGATCAGCATAGCTCTTCTGCCTACTTTGGGCAGTACGCATGCGATCTCGAATAAGAGCAATCTTTTCAGAGGTATCCTTGATGAACTCAGGACCTAAGAATCGATTCTCTCCAACCTCTATCCAACAAACAGGTGACCGACATGGTCGACCGTACAATGCCTCAAATGGTGCCATACCAATAGTCTTCTGGAAACTAT